TGAGGAGGAGGAGGAGGAGGAGGAGGAGGAGGAGGAGGAGAATGGGAGGGGGACGCAAAGTATACGAAACGTGCGTCGAATGACCCGACGAGAGCCATTTCGGGGAAGACCAATTCTGTAGTCGATCCTCTGCCCGAGCTTTGGTTGGCAACGTGGGCCCCCGAGTTCTTGGTCGGAAACTGGAGCATGTACACTACCAGTGGCGGGCTGTTTTTCATTCCCCCGACTTTTTAAGAGGGTCGGGGCGACGTCGGAGTGGTGTGGTGTACTGTATACTTATTTCCCCGCTTTCCTGGGGAAGCAGCGAAACATGTATACACCAGGATTTCGTAGATTCGGATGCAACTCCTGGGAGGTCAAATTGGGATTTTGCCCTGTTCCGAGATCCGGCTTACTCGGGCTTAATCCCGCTCAATCCGGCCAAATCCAGCTTAATCCCGCTTAATCCGGCTTAGTATAGTCCCGCTTAACTTGAGGCCCACTCCAGCGTAACAGCCCTCCAATGGGGCTTCGTCCTCTTTAATTTTATATTTCCGACGCTACCCTGTGCACTCTTCAGTGCAGGGCCGCAACAAGAAAAAGAACCGTCGGTGTATAGAGGTCGGTTCCCTACGTGACCTTGGCGGCGCGCTCCAGGGGGGAAGGCAGAGGAGGCGGGTCTTTCGTAGATATGCGGATGATTCGACGCAATTTTTCATAGATTCTACGAACGAATCAAGTTTGGGTTCTGACCCCCAGCTCGAGAAGCCGCGACAACAAACTCGCGAAGTCGCAAGCCTGGGCTTTCGGGCCGTGCCTCGGGGGCCTCGGGCCTCCCGAGAAGCTTTTCGGAGCTCTCTCCGAAGCCGCAGGGCTTCTCAGAAGGCCGGAGGGCTTCCGAGAAGCCCTCGAGCCTTCTGAGATCATCGGGGGCAACATGATCCCTCAACCTGATAATGCAAGGAATCGGAGGCCTAGAGGTTGACACCAACACCAATATCAGCGGTGTGCCTCCACCGGGTGAAGCTGATCCCGATCTCGGTGATGGTGGTAATATTCGGGCTCCCAAGGTGGCCGAAAGATTGCCACAAGCACCAACATCTAGGATCAGCTTCCCCTGGTTGAGGCAGACCCCGGTGTTGGTGTTGGTGCCAATTTGCAAGCCTCCTAAGGCAGACGTGACCTCATTGACGTCCCCTTTTTCGCATCCCGTCATCCCTGATGTCCCTGGCCCTCCTGAAGTCGGGTCGCCTCCCAAAGGATTTGGGGTCCTTGTGCGCCTCGTCGTGACAGGGCCTGCCTCCTCTCTCCTTCACCCCTCGGCGCGCCGCTGGTGGCCCCCTTCTCCCCCCGGCTCCCCTCCCCTGGTCCGTGGGCCCAGCTGCTGGTCGCCAACTGGCCCCCGGAGGTCCCAGTGAGCAAGGGGCCCGCGTGGTGACCCAGAGATCCGACGAGCCAGAGAAAACGGAGCGGCGGGCTTTGGGGTTCAAAACCGTCGACCGAAAAAATTGGTCGTTTAGACTTGTCCACTCCTCTGTAGAGGAACACCGCTTCTAAAGGTTTCTGGCCCAGTGTAAAGTACCACTGTGGCCTCGTCTAAAGACCCCAACGTAGAATAGCGATCGGATCCCGAGAGGATTCTGAGAGGATCCCGAGAGGTTCAGACAGGATCATGAAAGGATTCTGAGCGGATTCTGAGTGGAGCCCGAGAGGATTCTGAGAGGATTCTGAAAGGACCCTGGGAGGATTCTGAGAGGGTTCTGAGAGGACCCTGAAAGGATCCTGAGAGGGTTCTGAGAGAATCTGAGAGGACCCCGAAAGGATCCTGAGAGGACCCTGGGTCGATTCTGCGCGGATTCTGAGGGGATCCTGGTCGATTCCCTGTCGGATTCTGAGAGGATCCTGGGTCGATTCTGGGAGGATTCTGAACGGATCCTGGGTCGATTCTGTGAGGATCCTGGGAGGACCCCGAGAGGATCCTGACAGGCACAGTCGATTCGGGGCGGATTCTGAGAGAATCTTGGGTCGATTCTGTGAGGATCCTCAGAGGATCCTGAGTCCATTCAGGGAGGATTCTGAATGGATCCTGGGTCGATTCTGGGCGGATTTTGAAAGGATCCTGGGTCGATTCTGGGAGGATCCTGAGAACATTCTGAACGGACCCTGGGTCGATTATGGGAGGATCCTGTGTCCGTTCTGGGAGGATCCTGGGTAGATTCTGGGAGGATCCTGGGTAGATTCCACGCCGTTCTCCGTAGCACGATGGCCCACCTCTGGAGCTTAACATATTGCCCGTATTGTGCTTTGCCTCGTCTTTCAGAACTGCTGTTCGACCAGCTTGCGACCCATGAAGGATATGTCAATGCATTATTCGGCAAAGGTTGTTCTGCTCCGTCGCAGCCTGCGCTAGAGGCATCACCACAATTGGGGCCAGAGTCACCCGCACGTCGACTCGTCCCACTTCCAGCCGAGCCTTCTGTGTCATGACCACCGCCGACGATTCCTGTGCAGGATGCACCGCGGTCAGTGGGTTTCTACCGCTGCTCGCGTCTAAGACTTCCTGAACTTTTGCAACACCTAGACGATAGGAAAGAGGCTGACCTCCTTCCGGACCTCCTATCTGCAGGGGTTGTCCGTCCGCTAGGACACTGCGACTGCCATGCTTCTCATCCTACTCTAAGGCCCAGTCAAAGAACAAGCCAGGCAACTAAAGGAGCTTCAGCCAGATGCGCCCGTTGTCAAGTGCACCATTCCGTCGATTTCAGTGGAACACTTTTTGAGGGAAGCCAAAACAAGTTGGGTTTGGTCACATCTATCAAAATACATGCACACTGGTTGGAAGGGACTGGCGTCGGCAAAACGGCGCGAGAGCTGAAGATCTGCGACGGCACAGCATCGCCAATGTGGAGCAAATTACAAATCTCAGTTGCGTGGCAACAGCAGAAATTGCCAACAATTGCTGACGGAGAGCGCAGTGTCGACATTACTTGGGGGCCACATCGGAGACGGGTTCGCTACGGCGTCCCGGCGCGACCTGTGAAATTCGAGAGCTACATATTCCAAGTAGCAGCGGCATTCCCCGTGGTCCAAGGTGCTCGGCGTTTCCTCCCCGGAACTTTGCGAGTGCAACGTGCCCTCAGCGCAGACGCAACATGCAACGACAATGTACAGTTGACAATGCTGGACCCCTCGTGTTCGGTTGTGCCCGACCGAGGATCCGAATAGGCCGGCCTTCCGCATTTGTTCGATCGAATCCAGACGGTAAGCCATTATATAGAATGGGTGACCTCCGATAGTATAACGACAAGCTTAGGATAATCAATCAATGGAGCGTTGAAGAACATGGGCAGCGATCTAAATATGTGGAAATGGTGCGTGGTTGAATCAGGGCTTGCAGTTCGATGGCCCGAATCGACGTGGAGAATCAATGCAGAATTGGACAAACGCGTTGTTTCTGTCTGGCAGGAGTTGGCAACTTTCGCGGGAGCTTCAGCAGAGTGCCAAGCGAGCGCCCAAGGAATAATCCCAGCAGTAGTAGCGCCAGAAGCGCGCCGACAGCTGGAAATGTCTAAGATTCCGATCCCCAAAGCAAAGGGGAACACATCGCGCAACGACTCTCAGCGAAACGATCTGAACTGCTGAGAGCATGCTGGCGGAGATTACGGTAGAGGCTTCGGAGCGAAGACGCGTGCTTGGATTTGCCTGGGTTTTCGAAAAAGGAGCGTTTTTTTCGCCACGGGTGGTGCGAGTGTTGGACTGGCGTCAGCCGCAGTTTCACACGCCCCCCCAAGAGCAATCGAATCTTGCATCTTAAGCGGTCTTTGATAGTTTACCGCCGCCAACTACAAACTGAAGAGTAGCATCCCGAGGACGCGCAGAAAGACGAGTCCGACGCGAGTGACGGCCGGGCGAGTTCAAGCTCCAGCGACGTCGACTCAGATGACGCGCCGCTGATTCAGAAGACTGGTTCCGCAGCAAGCGCGGCCCGTCAGCGGCCCGCGGCAGATCTAGCCCAAGAGCCAAAGGTAGTTGAAATGATTAATGAGCAGCTAGATGAAGCGCTGGCTCCGCATGGCAGGCGTTGCGGCCCAACTACTTTTATGGATGGGCATTGTTCGTGCCGCACCCTGCGAAAACTAAGAATTACAAGCGACGGCATTTCACGCGTAGGGGCCCGCGTGGTAGACGAGGTGGACCCGCGAACCCTAGCGGCAGCTGCTGAGCGCGGGCGCACAGTGAAGCAACGTGCCCAAAAAGTGTTGACAGACGATTGCGCGAACGACTTGGTCTCGGTCGTCTTCGCGAAAATCTATGGCAAAACCGTGGCTGTTGTCAATATTGATAGCATTCGCGCGCCTACTCGCGCTGGCGTGGGCGTCGACGGGCCCGTGCCAGGCACGAACGAATGGGTTGCTTATAACCGCATAAACCAGCATCGCGGGGCTCTTCCAGCACGGCGCCCCAAAGAAGTGCAAACACTTGCGCCCAGTTCTTCGCAATCATCAGCGTTTGGATTGACCAGTTTCTTCGCCCGGGAGGATCAACCGGGCGACCGGCAATCCACTTGAGCTTCGCGCGCGCATTGTCTGCGCGTCGCGTCGTAGCGTCGCGGGGCGCTTCGGCGCGCAGAGTGCCGATTCGGCCGCTTCGGTGAGCAGATTGCCGATCCGGGCGCCTCCGTGCTCAGATTGCCGATTCGGGCGCTTCGGCGCTCAGATTGCCGATTCGGGCGCGTCAGCGCCCAAATTGCT